AATGGTATTTTTAAAACCAGAAATTATGCATTCAAATGAGACTTGTCTCCTTTAAACAGTCCCCCTGGGAGGCAATGAGCTAATTCCACTTCATCGCTCAAACCAGCTTTGGAGCTTTCCTCCTGGAATCGCCTCGAGATCCTGCAGTCAGTCCTTCTGAGTATCCTCAATGATGCCAACTCTTCACTGAGAGTGAATTCGATTTTTGGAAATGGCCTGAAGTCAGTCAGAGCCAAGTTTAGTGAATAAGATGTATGATCAAACTAGGTGGCACTCTTTGGGTTCAAAAATGATCCATGATTATGAAGCAATGAGACAGATTTCCTTGTATGTTTTGTAATCTGACTCCAAAGGAAACTTCAGATGAGTAACAAGGAATCTGAGCAGTGAGTAGATACACACATACTCCTCTTTCTCCCAAGTGGCTTCTTTGAGGGATAACACTCACTTGGATGTGTAAGCTCAGATACAAGGTTTGCTTTGTGCCATCACAACTCATAAACCGAAGGCTCCTTGGGATAGGAGACCCACTGTGGGCCTGTCACTAAATTCAAGAGGTGCCACGGCATGCAGGAATGCACACAGGCTTCAGGAGGAGACCAGCTGACTCATGTTAGAATCCTGACCTGGCCCCTTGTCGCCTGTGTGACTTCAGGGAAGTCACAAACTCACTGAGACTCTGTGAAACAAGGCTGATCATCTCACGTGCAGGGTTGTTGCAAAGATCTGAGATAATGCTGAAAGCACTGGCACTGTGCCCAACCTGTGCTAGGTGCCCCAGAAGTCAAACCCATATAGTAACAACTTCAATAGAATCGAGAGGTTTTTCTTACTCTAGGTGACTTAAGATGACAGAACAACAGATAAACAGACATTCAGGTGGTGGATGAGTAGTTCCTGAACAGTACCAACATACACTCACTACCGCTAGACCTGGAGCGGCTTTAAACAAAAACCCCAGTAATACGTAAATGATATCTGCAGTGATCACTCACAGCACGGGTACTATTTTTAAATCATATGACACGTGCCACCTGCAGCACCGCCACCACACTGACCTTTGACCGCTGTCTGAGCACACCGGGCTCTCTCATGAACCCCGAGCCTCTCCATCCTCTGCCCCTCCTAACTCCCCTTTCCTGCCCTCTCGTCTGAGAAACCCTACAGTTATATTCTTCAAGACTGAGCTGTGGAAGCTTCCCTGACTGCTGACACAATTGGTGGCTCTGCCCCCTTGTGCTCCCACAGCATTTAGTTCCCTTCTCTGGCATGTCTCTTCCTGTGTTGAATTTTAATTTCTCTTCCCATTTCTGCTTCTCTTGCCAGGCTTGAGCATGGAGAGGAATTATATCTCACTTATTTTTGTACTGAGAGCACCTAGCACATCTCTTGGCACACAGGAGGAACTCAGGAAATGCTGGATGAACGAATGCTTTAAATATAAATATTTTACAAATGACTGGTGAAGGCCAGGTAGCCGTCCTTTGTTAACAATTACCAGAAGTCACATCCATTTTTCCTAAAATCAAAGAACAGACAAGATAACTTATGTAGAACGGTTTTAGAAGTTGCAGCACATGGAACTTTCAAAACGCTACTGACCTCCTTAGTACTCCATGCTCACATGACCGATCACCCAGAGCAGCATCCCTCAGCCTTCGTCCCAGCCCAGCACACCTGTGGGATGCACCTCACTGTCAGGGCTCACTGCAGATGATCAGATGATCAGGGCCTAGCAGAGTTCTCACAGCTTCCAGCACTGCCTGGCTCCCAGGCCTGAAGGCCATCTCCAAGCCAGCAACAGGAGCAAGTTAGCAGAAAATCCCAAGGCTCCATGCTGTGACCAGGGTGCTGGCTTAATGCCATCTCCTCCCAGATCCCCACCTCCTACCTCAGAATCAGTCTGCCAGTTCTGTATACTGCTGAGAGTTGCCTACTCAATGAATAAGGCTCCCTCAAGGAAGCCTCAGGCATTCAGAAAAGGACTTGGTGGGTCTAGTGTGCCTACTGCAGCGAGTCTTAACCTGTGCCGCTAAAAAGTTCATGATCAACCAGTTCTGTGCCAGATGGAAATAGGCGGAGGGTCAGCTGGCAGCCCTGTGCATCTGAGTGCTGCCACTTGTGAATCATTCTGTTATTGCAGTTTTCTAGACCTTTGGCAATACAGCAGTGGGCTCAGACTCACCAAGATCAAAAGGTTAGAAAGGAGAGCTAGAGCTATGGCCCATGCCTTGGGACTCACAAAACCATGATAGTGGCTATTTTTGTGACACACGTACTCCACAAAGAAAAGGCAGCCACATTCTGCCTTAGTGTCATGGTCTTTCCTGTCTCTCTAATGGAATGGCTGTATTCTGAAGGAGAGAAGATGAGAAGAAAGAGGACCAGGCCACAGACCACCAGGAATGCAGTGATTGGAAGAAACCATTTTAGATTTCTCCTATAGGCTCTGGAGAGTCATTCATTCATTCATCCATCCATTCATTCCACAAATATTTAATGAGTCGGGTACCACTGCAGGTGCACAAGATACATAATGGGCAGAATCATGGCCCTGGTCCCAGGGAACTTATAGTTTAGTAGGGGAGACAGGCATTAATCAAATAAACACACAAATATAAGGGTACAAATAAGTGCTATGATGGAAGAATTCAGCATGCTACAGAGATTGTATAAACAGGTGTCAGTGGGCTCAGGCAAGTCAGAAAGGCTCCTCTCAGCAAGCAACAAGTGAGCTGAGCTCTCAAGGATAAATAAGAGTTAATTAACTAGGTCAGGAGGAGAGGAGAGGGAAACATTCCTGGCAATGAGAACAGCATGTGCCAAGGTCCCGGGGTAAGAGAGAGATACTGAAGTGGTTCCAAATTAGAGGCAGGGAGAAAGGCAGCAACACCAAGGCTACATGCCCTGGCACTAGGTATCTTCCTGTCTACACCCTCTGGTTTGCACTCTAGCTATCTAGAAGGCCCTCCTCAGCATGGAACAAGACTAAAGAACAACATTAAAAACTAGGTGTGCCCACGAGACATGACACATCCTTAGCTAAAAAGTCAGACTTGCCAATATTACCTGACCACTGTCTTAGCAGTCACCACTGTGAGGCAACACTGCTCACTTCTACTGAAGCAACACTGTATCAGGACATTGGTGCCCTACAAAAGGTCTTTAGAGATGCATTTCAATTCCAGTAGAATTAAAGTGTTGACAAATATATTGATAATTACTATAAATCTGTTTAGATACCTAATATTTCATTGTAGTTTACATACACCAAATTTTAGGGGGTGGGGGAGAAGCCACAGGAAAAGAAAATGGTTAAGGATGTTATCTGTGCAGCACTACTGTGCTTGGCAACTGTTAGCCAGTTAGAACACTTGACACAGTTCTTGGGTTCTGAATTATCTGTCACCTTGCAAAACTGTCCTGGAACCATCTATTTGCAAAGCACTATGCAATCAATCATGAATTTGGCTTCCCATCCTGCTGAGATTATACTCATTCTACAGATAAAACACATAAGCAAGTGGCCCAAGGACACAAAACAATTCAGATTTTACTTTTCTTCTTACCACCCTCACCAAACAATGTAGACACACAAGGCCCTTCCAACTCCAGCACCAATCCTGCTACCCTGTAGATCACTCCTCACCCCCTAGGAGTAGCAAAAGAAGGTGCTGCAGTCCCTCCTCCCTTACCTCCTCTCAACACACTCCTGGATGCAGAACAGCTTCAAGGCCAACAGTGATAACGACTGCACCATGATTGGGACATTGGCACTCCAGACCAGAAAAGGAACTCAGTAGTGCTAGAAGAGGAACAGAGCACCTAGGAAGCCTCAATGGCTTGTAACTTAAAATGTCACTGTCCTCAGGAAGACTGCACTCCCAATACTCTCTCTCCATCTCTCCCAAGACTTCCCTTCATCACCCACAAGCAGTTCAGGCAGTGGTCTCCACTGGGTTCCCCCAGTACAACACTGCACAGTGCTACCAACCATCTATTTACAGGTCTTTCTCCACCCACAAGCTGGGACCACCCAGCATCTGAAGCACCCCACATAGGACCTAGCACACAAAAGGCTGATTAGGGCACAGATTCCCACCAGCAACTAAGGGAGACAGGTAGGTACTCCCTTCACAGACTAGTGGACTCAGAAGATCAATTAGGCCGACTCCTTATTTTTCGGATGAACAGAGAATATGTAACTCAGTCCCATGGGGCCTGGTCCCTAATCCAGATCTTTGGGCTCAGTTTAGTCCCACAAACATTTTATAAGGGCCTGCTCTGTTTCAAACGCTGTGGGAGATGCTGGGGATAGTGAGGTGTGCAGGGGATGGTCTCTGCTTCAGGGCGCACACAGCATGGGGGAGGGAACAGAGTCACAGAACACTTGGGCAAGTGCAAGGACAGGCGCTTGATTCCTTAATCAGTGTTCTCTCCACACTGTCCACTGGATGGATACTCCCCAGCTGGGAAACAGGACAACAGTGTCTACTTCCTGCAAATAAACTTACAGTGAAGAATGAGGAGACACCGTGTATGGGAAATCGTCAGGTTCACCCCCCAGAGGCATTATGTAAGGGACTGCCATACCCTGACACCGACTCCGAGGATTCAGCGTCGTTTCAGATATCACTCGACAAAGCAGCAAACAAGCTAGAGGTGGGCATACATCCAAGGAAAACCTCAAGGGCTCAGAGGAACCGGAGGAAACAGCTGGGGTGTGTGTGGGGGGGGTAGGGGTGTTGGGTCAAGCGAAACGGCCTCGACGCGGGGAACAGAGGACAGGCGGCGGGGGGCGGGAAGGGTGCCCTGGGCCAGCAGCCAGGGTGGGCTGGCCCAAAAGCAAAGGGGTTCCCGCGGGGCCGAGGGCGGAGGTGGGGGTGCTGAAGGCACCGGGAGCGGGAAGCACGGCCCGGAGAGCCGCTCGCACCGCGGGGAGCTGCCCCGCCGCCCGCCACAGCCTCACTCCCGCCGCGCCTCCCCCGGCGGTGCCTCACCTCGGGTTGAAGTCCTGGAAGAGGCCCCTCAGGTTCATGGCGGAGAACTTCGCCGCGGCGGCCTCCTCCTCCCCCCTCCCCCCGCGCCGCGCAGCCTGCGCGTTACAGCGGGTTCATGGTGCCGGCGCGAGCCGCGTCCCCACCGCCGCCGCCGCCGCCACCGCCACCGCCGCCGCCACCGCCGCCGCCGCCGCCCGGAGAAACCTGAGCCACCGCCTCCCGCCCCTCCTTCCAGGCTTCCGTACGGCGGCGGCGCATGCGCCCGAGCCCCGCCCCGCCGGCCGGGAAAGCGCGGCGAGCCGCGTGCGACGCCGCCCTCTTAGCTGGTGGCGACCGGAGGAGGCCGTGGCCCTGGTTTTCCCTGTGGCCCGCGGGGAGCGTGGAGGCTGGGAGAGATGGGGAGCCTGGAGGAGGCGGCGGAGAGCCGAGCGGGGAAGCCCCCTCGGCGCAGGCCTGCGAGAAGGAAACGCGCCACCCGGGAATCTCGCGGGGAGGTCTTCGCGGACACCTGTCACCTCGCCCCGCGGTGCCTTCGGGAAATTTCCCCTGAGCCTGGGCGGGAAGGGGGATAGTGGCCACGGTGACTCGTTGCATTTTGGCGTTCTCATCCCAGGCTTCACCTGTTAGATCTGTCGGTGACTCCCAAGTCTGCGTCTCCATTTCTCTCCCAAGGCCCAGGCCAGCATATGGATAGTGCTGGTGGTCCCACACTCAGGTAACCCAGTGCCACAGTCATCTTTCCTCCCAACCGCCTTCCCCTCCTGGGTTGCCCTCTCCGTTGGCAGCACAACTATTCATGGGGGCATCCAAACTGGAAATCTGGTAGTCATCTTCCTGTTTGCTGAGTTCAGAGACTTCTTGGCCCCTGCCTAGACTTTGTGGTCACTTCCCCCCTGGCCTCCTCCTCCACTCCAGGCCATCTTACTTATAACTGCCAGGTTCATCTCCCTTGCACAGGTCAACATCTTTGGCCTCAATTTTTCTCCTCTGCAAAATGGAGATGATAAAACCGACTTCCTAAACTTGGGTAAGAGAGCGTACATAACACTGCTTGGTTCACACTAAGTGCTCAGAGAATGTAGTTGCTCTCTCGTGCTCTTTCCAGTTCCTGCCTCCTCAAAAGTCTGTTTGCTTTTGGAATTAGCTGGGCAAGTTCACAGCAGGTGACCTAGTCTACCTTCCTCACTTCCGGCTTATTTAAGACTTTTCCATGAGCACAGCAATACCTTAGACATTAGTCTAGTATCATTATGGGTAATAGTTGCACTTTGTTACAATAACAGAGTTTCATGAATGGCAGTTTTCATATGGGTTAGCCCTGGGGGCAGCTTGAGAAGATCACAATTATAATAGTCATACCTTGCTGTGATGTATCACCTTTCTTCCAAGAGACAGAAAACATTTCACAAGTGGTAATTAGGCTTCCCAAACCCACTGGCGAATGGATATTATTGTAGGAGCTGCTTTTCAATATGAGTAACCTGAATCAGGTTTGTCAGCTGCTGAAACACCAGAACCCAGTCCCAGAGTCTTTGGTCAGTTCCCTTGCTCATCCTCCAGGTAAAGTCCAGTGTCTACCCCTGAGGAGTTTCCCAGTGAACATTTAAATACACAAAAGAAAGCTGAGGCACAGAGAAGCTTGTCTGATGTGCCTTGAGCTACCCAGCTGGTAGAGGTACAGGAGCAAAGAGGCAGCAGGGGTTCCTGCCGAAATTGCAGCCCGCACTCTGCAAAGAAGAGGTAGTTGCCAGTGGCCAGACTGACCAGCACCATCTTCATTATTAATGACCTCCTCATAAACAGGCATTAAGACTGAGATTGTTTGTCAGTTGAGATACTTGAACAGGAGATACTGTTGCCTTTTCAGAAACTTCACCAGCAGAGACCAGGCAGGCTGCTCAGAGTCCAGAGTCTTGAGGGAAGGCGCTACTTTGGTGAGGCCCCAGGGAGTCCCAGAGCTGACCCACTGCTCTGCAGCTCACAGTCCCCCAGACATGACCAGGTTGTGAGGGATGCCCAGCCCAGGGAACAGAAAACCAATACACAAACCAGTTGTCAATGTATTCTTTTGTTCCAACAAGCCAGATTGCCGAGGGGAGCTTATAAACCTGTCCATGGGAATAGAAGAGAAGTCCTCGTATCACTAATCTTCATGAAGTGGATGTACCTGGTCTGCCTCAGCCTCACTGGAGGTCCAGCCCTGTACTCTACCAGTGCTGTCATGGAAATAAAAATCAGAATATCCATGGGCACTTGGATGGCTCAGTCAGTTGATTGACTGCCTTCGGCTCAGGTCATTATCCTGGGATCCTGGGATTGAGCCCGCCTCAGGCTCCCTGCTCACAGGGGAGCCCGTTTCTCCCTCTCCCTCTGCTCCTCCGCCCTGCTTGTGCTCACTCTCTCTCTCTCTCTGTCGAATAAATAAATAAGTTCTGTAAAAAACATCAGAATATCTGGGTGTCCCTCTTGTCCTCTCTCCAGCAAGTGCGAAAGACACTGCTGCCGATCTCCTGCCAATCTCTGACCCCTCACTCAGTGGCCCGCTCTGAGCAAGGGCCCAAAACGTCACTGGCCTGCGTGTACAGACGTGTGAGTGACCCAGTTATTGAGGAAAGACTCTGGGCCATACACAGGTTGATGCCCTCATCATCTCCCCTAGCCAACTTTGACTTGCCACCAAATTTCAGGGCCCGCTTACTACAGACTATCAACATTCCTTATATAAAGGCATGAAATGGCTCAGGATTGAAAAAGCATGACCCCAAATAAGCCAGAAAGCACACTCATGTGGCTTTGGAGTGGGTACATGTTACAATGTCCCAGAAGCATCAGTGTATATCTGGACCATGGTTTTGAAGACTACCTTGGATTTGTAACACCCTTCTGTTAAGCTGGTGGCTTGTCCAATTAAAAATTCACATTGTCTCCAAAATGATGGGGTGGAGGTCAGACTTCTCAGGAACAGGGCTGTGAAGGAGAGAATCCTGGTACCTACAGACACTTTGGTCATGGAGGGCCTGGATTAGGGGATAGAAGCGGCTGTGGCCCAACTCTCACACCACTGGGGCTCCTGCCCTGGGCCGCAGCAGGGTGGGGAGAGCATGGAATTAGAAGACTCAGACCAGCTTCATCACTGCTCTCGTGGAAGGAGGGACAGCTGGGATCCAATCCTGGGGAAGGCTGGCAGGTCTACTAAACTTCCTGGGGGACCAGCTTGGCAACATATTCAGCCGGGAGATGCAAGGTGCTGGCTGAAGGTTAACCGTCTCTCAACCTGAAATTCTCCACTCTAAGTTCCCCAAAGTCCACACCCCGAATTCCACCAATAAGAAATCACTGGGGACTCCACTTGTGAAATGGACCCCTTGCTTCCTGAGAGGGCCCTTTGTTTCTAGCTACTTAAAGTTGACCTGAGTAAGTGTGTAGTCTTTCTGTTCCTGAGATCTCCCTGGGAGGTGGTTGGAGTCTGGATGAGGGTACAGTAGAACACATAGCTAGATTTGGGGGCCCAAGGAGCTTGGGGTGGAGGCTGGGAGCAATGGAAGAGACCAAGAAGGTAATATGTATGGTTCTACTTGGATTTATAGCTGCCTCTGGTCTTCTTCAAAAGCCCAGAAGGAGTCTCTCTTCACCATAGATGTGTCCCTGAGGACAAGTGGGTCAGCATCCTTTCTGGAGCAAGCTTCCCAGTGAAGGAAGCAAGGACTATTTCCTTTTGGAAGGTGGAGTGGGCAGACTGTGTCTGGGCCCACAGAGCCATCGTGGTGTCCCTGTGCTATCCCCCCTGGACCTATCTGGTCACCAGGGGCTCCAGGAAGGCTTCCCAGGTGGGGGAAGGAGACTCCTGGGATCCTGTCCTCCAATGAGATGTGCCTGGAAAGCCCAGGTCAGGTACACGGGCCAGGCCTTTTGGGAAGGCAGGAAGAAACGTAGAGGTCACCAACCACTTGCTCACACAAGTCCCTTCTCTCCCCCGCACTGTCCTGTTCTCATTCCTGTGTCTCCACTCCCTGCTTGCCTTTTGCCCTTTGTGCTTGCACATTGGCTTTCTGTCACCTTTCTCTGGGACCCTCTGCCTTTACTAATAAGATGTCCCCTTCTTCCCCGTGTCTTCTCCTGATGTACCCTTCTGGCCAGGGCAGTCTGCAAACTTCACTCCTCTGTCAGCCTCAACGAATGTCCGGCACTGTGGAAAGCACTGCTAACACTTAGTATTGTATGCGATAAGTTTCCAGAGCAGGAGAACTGCTGAGCGGAATCTGAAAGGCCACGGAAGATTTCCAGTCTGGAGGAGAAGAAAGGGGATTGCAGGCAAAGGGAACAACCCTTTCAAAGGTGCAGAAGTCAGCAAGTGGAGGCAGTTGGACTTTTCAGGAGAAAAATGTCCTCTATGTTCATTCTCTGTGGAGTTTCCGGAACACCCTTCCCTCAGGTAGGCCCTCTAGTTTGGGGTCTGAGTGCTCATTGCAAAAATGTTTTACCCAGAATGACCCCTGGACCAGAATAGGACTCAGTCGAGGCTGTGCTAGAGTCTGTGTGTAAATGCAGCATACAAAGCCAGGCAACATGCAACAACATTTCAGTGAGGTTGTTCCATACATTTTGAATACAGGAAGATTGCTTTGTCTCAGTCTCCAGTCTATCCTGGGATCCTGTGGCCTCCTACGATGATTGTTTTCTCTGGCTTGATGTACAGCATGCTCCCTGCCCTGCCTACTTGCAACCCTAGGCCAATGGGCAGTGAGGACTTAGCTGAGGAAGCCTGCTCAGGGAGAGCTCATGAAATGAATGCAGGAGTCAGACCATCCCAAGATCCCTTCTAACAAGTAGGCCTCCCTTCTCCATGCCTCAAACTGGGCCCCCAACATCTGCCAGAACAATGATCTATTATTCCTCAGTTTGTAGTAGCAGCAGGCATGATCTGTGGACTCCCATTCTCCCTTTTTCCTACCACATTCTCCAGGTTATCGACATGCTGAGGGGTTTTTTTTTGTTTGTTTTTTAAGATTTATTTATTTATTTATTTATTTATTTATTTGACAGACAGAGATTACAAGCAGGCAGAGAGGCAGACAGAGAGAGAGAGAGGTGGAAGCAAGCTCCCTGCTGAGCAGAGAACCCGATGCGGGGCCTAATCCC